CTCTTACCTCACAGAGTAAGACAGATGTCCGGTTTGATGGCAGATCAATCCATATTGCTTATTCAAGAGCTGAAAAAGAGCATTTTAGATATAAATATATCAGTAAGTCATAACAACTAATGTTTTTACATTACTTTAACACATCAAGTCGAGCAACTTCAACTTTTCTTTATAAGTCGGTTTAACGTTTGTTGAAATGACTTGTACAACCAAGTTGATTATACATATACATACATTCACACACACATATATATATATTTTATGTATACATTTAATATGTATAATCAAATTTTATTATATATTTTATATGTGATAGAAGCATGTTCATGTAGTTTTGGTCCTAAAAATTAGCAAAAAATAAATAAATAAATAATAATAATAATAATCATAATTATTATAATTATTATTATATGTTGTATATTTATAAATAAATACACAAATAAAGTGAAAACCGTAATATTGTGTTTTTCAGGATTCACAGATGAATAGAAAGTTCAAAAGAACAGAATTAATTTGAAGTAGAAATCTTTTGTAACATAAATTTCTTTACTTTCACTTACTGTCATCAATTTAACACATCCTTGCTGAATAAAAGTATTAATTTCTTTCAAAAATAATACATATAATGGTACTGTATGGTAGAAGCATGTTAATGTCAAAATGACATTCAATTCAATTCAAGTTTATTTGTATAGCGTTTTTCACGATACAAATCGTTGCAAAGCAACTTTACAGAAAATTAAGTTTCTACAATATTTAGTGGTAGCTTATCAGTGGTGACTGTCAGTTAATGTACATATGGCAGAAATGTACGGAAAAAATCAATTAAAGACGCAATCAAACAGACGATGAACACTATTAACAGCAATTATTAGGCTATATGATGCAATCAAACTTATAGCAAAATTTGGTAGTTTGGTAGGTAAAAGACATTTTACCAGTTGCTTGCTTTCTATTTATGTGGCATCACACTAGGTAGCTCCACCCACAATGCAATTTCATTGGTCGCCGCTCCACATAGCAGTACATTCTGATTGGCTGTGAATTTCATCACTTTGCAGTTTGCACAGTAATTCACTTTAAATGGGAAAAGAAAAATAACACTAGTAGGCTTGTGTAGCTGGTTAGGACATGCTGTCAGTGTAAGGAAGGGGAAGCTGGAATAGTTTGAATTAATACAATAAATGGAGAGTCCACACAGTTGAGCGCAATTATTTCTGTGGCTAAAGGTGATTTCAAACATTCACCAGAATATAAAAGACTGATAACGTAACGTAAGCGTGTGAGCGTGGGCTGACAAAAGGTCAGGTCGACTGGTGTGTTAAATTTAGACGGTTTAACAGAGTGACATTAGTGTTAGAGCAGACTGTAGCACGTTTTCATCACACCCCTGAAGCTTGTTAAAGGGGTCATATGATGTTGCTAAAAAGAACAGTATTTGGTGTATTTGGTGTAATGAAATGTGTTTATGCGGTTTAAGGTTCAAAAAACACATTATTTTCCACATACTGTACATTATTGTTTCTCCTCTATGCTCCGCCTTTCTGAAACGCAGAAAACGCTTTTTTGCAAAGCTCATCGGTCTGAAAAGCAAGGTGTGCTGTGATTGGCCAGCTATCCAGTGCTTTGTGATTGGCCGAATGTCCACGGTGAAAGTTGATGTATTTCCTCAGCGACCAGCACAGATCAGCTCTAGGCATGACGAAGCGGATATCGTCCTCTTTTGGAAGACCAAACAAAGTAGTTTCGCTTTCACAACGAAGCACACAGCGTCTTCACGACATGGCGGCGGCAACAATACTACAGCGAGAATAAAAGTTATGCCTTCTTTCTTTGTGTGAACATTTGGGCGGTGTTGTGTTATGCAAATCTTCCCACATCGTGATGTAGACATGTGGGGGCGTGTTAGAACGAGCCGTTTTAGGTAGGCGTGGCTGACTCTTAACTTTTATAAAGAATATCTCTTTGGATTTGAGACTTTAGTCTTTGCAACTTTACAGATCTTCTTTATGCACCAAGAGCTTGTAACACTCCAAAGAGAAAGAAAAATTGAAATCGCATCATATGACCCCTTTAAAAAACGCGCACACACACACACACGCACACACACAAACATAAGCCTCAGACGCAGATTCGCTCTTCTTTTTCCCCACACGACGAGCGACTATAACAGTCACAGAACACAAGACTGTAAAAACGGCCTCTTTTAACACAGAAACAGAGCGAGACAGACACACAGAGAGAGAGAGAGAGAGAGAGTGATGTCTCTGATGCCACTGAAGTCGACATGAAACGCTTTTCACAACCCATTTTATCCTGACGTAATTCTGAGAGAAACGAGACATTCAATAAGAAGAAATATGTAGGACAAGACTTGATTGTATCCATTTGGAATCGATTGGGTCGTGAAAAGTGAGTGTTATTAGCAAAATAAACGAAAATTAAAATGAAAACTGAAAAGCTAGTTCTACTAGCAAACAATACATTGAATTAAACATGACATTTTTAAGTAGAAATCTTTTTTATTGACTATATGTACAATATATATAATATTGCATCAGCAACTGATTGGAATAAAATAAGCTTAAGTTGTTTTTGTAGCTTTTATTTCATTTAAAATTGTTATGGTTTTAGTTTTCATCAGTTTTAGTTAACTTTAGTGAAAATTGTAGTCAGTAATGTCATCTAGATTACTCATTTTAGGTAACGTATTCTGACTACTTTTGGATTATTTTTGCCATAATTTGCAGATGTGAATGGGATTATCATTATATATAAAAAAAAAGATATGAAATATATTTCATTCTTTGTTATCAACATCATGAAATGCATTTAACATTACATTTCTCCAGGGTTTCCCAAACTGGGGTAAATATTTGATGTCAGTTATACATCGGAGTGTTTAGTAACTTATGTAATTAACATTGTGTGATTGACTGAGAGGTGCTTTTGTCCTCCAATTCAGAAGCATGGACCGCAAATTAATTAAATTCAAATATACATGACATTTACATGGCCATTCTATATTGTGAATATTCAAAGCTAAATTATATGACACACAGTAGAATATTTAGAAAGGAAAATTTATTTAAAAAAATAGAATTAAGAATGAAGGAGAATCAATAAATTGTGAATAATTTAATGCCATTGTGTGAATAATCTGGAATCATGTAATCCAAAAAAGCAACTGTAATCTGCATTTTTAAAACAATATGCATTTTAAAACAATACGATCTAATTACAAGTACTACATTTTTGGAATCTGATTATATTATATTACTTTATAATGCTAAATTTTGATGCTAAATTATATCAAATTACAGTAACTTTCTCCACCTCTCCAACAACTTTTTTTGAGGGCTAGAAATAATATGAACCTACTAGATACCTGTGCAAAACTCACCTCCATGATGTCAGGGTGTTGCTATGTGGTTGCTAAGGTAGCTGTTGCTGTTGGCATGTTGCTATGCAGTTGCTAGGCGTTTTTGGGTTGTTGCTAGGCAGTGGCTCGCATCCCTCTTTCATTGAAAGTCTGTGGGTTTTTCAGGTTAACATTGTATAAATAAACTCCTCATCATTCCTCCTCCATACCTTCCTCTACGATCCATCCATCCTGATCGTCACAGCACTTTTACTAACTGTTGCCTGTATCTCCATGGCGACCGTCCTCCGCTGATATTCTGAGTAGAGAGTGGCGTTCAGTCTATAAATAACCCACAGACGGTTTGTCCTTCCATTAATTGTTCTGTCGATGAATCAGACGGTAAATGATGATGGAGGATGAGCATTTGACAGCACGAAGCACTCAACACATTTCTCACAAACTCTGATTGTGAGACGCAGAGAGATTTTCACACAGATCTTTAACAACTTTTACAAACACACTCGTACAGTGCATTATAAAAAATGAGCTTCTGAGAAAGACTGTTATGGCAGAAACACCTGAGTGACTAATAAAAGAGAAGTGCAGGAACAGACTGTTTGATCCTACAGTCGAAAACTAGAGTATGTCATTCATAGAAAACGACAGAAAATGCAACGTTATAAACTTACATCAAAGAAGCGACAGACAAACTCTGTGTGTGTGTGTGTGTGTGTGTGTGTGTGTGTGTGACTCCTTTGAAGATTAAACACTGACTACTGAAGTCTCTCTCTTTCACTTGCGCTCAGGAAAACATGGAAAAATGTGTTTATTATTGAACTTCAGTCTCACAAAAAACTGTCAAGAATATATTCATATTTCAAATTATTTCAATTTATCTCAATACTAATGCAATGTAATAAAAAAAAAAAATGTGGATATAAATACACACACGTGCACACACATATATTAAATTATTAAAAAATATATAAATATAAAATGATTTTTATGAAATAGAAATTATATAAAAATTATGAAGTATTATTATTACAATATTACCATAATAGAACGTGTAATTGTAATGTAATTTATTCATGTGATGGCAAATCTGAAATATTAATCATTCATTAATTATTCATTAATTTTACATTTCTAAGACAAGTATTTGGTGTCAATGCTGTATTTATTGTAATGTCTCAAATTTATGCAGGTATGTATTAAATGCAGTATGTTTATATTATAAAATGTTATATATAGTATAAACAGGTTATGTAATATATAACGCTAATGAAAATCTAATTAGAATCATCACTAAGAATAATTAGACAAAATACAGAAAAGTTAAACACCTGGATGTATTACAGTTATTAAAGTTTGGAGAGGAAATATTGTCATGACAATAATCTCTCAATGCAAAAAAAAATACAAAATAAATAAATAAAACAAATTCTAATGCTGATTTTCTTTTTCATTACTTGCATTTCTTTTAATTTTGGGGTGAAATATGACACATTTGGGCACATTTTTCTCTCTTGTGTTTTCTTCTCGTTCTTTACTATGTTATGCAGTATGTATGTTCTTTGTGCATCGTATGTAACACTGAACTGACTCTCTCTCTCTCTCTCTCTCTCTCTCTCAGTTTGTTCGCAGTATTCGCGAGGAGTCTTTGCGATATTCGGCCTGTACGATAAGCGCTCGGTCCACACTCTGACGTCCTTCTGCAGCGCGCTGCACATCTCTCTGGTAACGCCCAGTTTCCCTGCCGAGGGCGAGACACAGTTCGTGCTTCAGCTGCGGCCGTCCATCCGCGGGGCGTTACTGAGCCTCCTGGACCATTACGACTGGAGCCGCTTCGTATTCCTGTACGACACCGACAGAGGTAAGAAACACACACTTGTGCATGCAGCTGTACTGAAAGAGGACACTATATCAAACATGAAGAGCCATTTTTGGGTTGTTTAAACATTTTCTGGTGTCTTGGTTTAATGAGTTGTTTGTTTGAGCGGCCTGATATGTCAAACTTCTGTCTCAGAAAAAAACATGTTTACAGCCTGATTCAAAAAATAATTTTGGTCTATATAGCTCATTTTGCCCTTCATGACAACTGTGAGGGGGTGCATTTTTTTATAACTCATCTGTTTAAATTATATTAAGCCTTAAATTCTGCATAATTAAGGGCGTGGCCACTTGAGTGACAGGTGGATTGCCACTGCTGTCACCGGCGTCGAGCTAGGTGGGCGTGGTTTCAGCGACCAGCTCCCGCCTCTTTGCCCATTTTCGATTATCCGGGAGTGACGCGCTGCCAAGATGGCAATGGCCGGCTCCACCTACTTTGAGCTTCAAAACCGCTCGTCAGAAACCTACGGGTGACGTCACGGACACTACGTCCATGTTTTTATACAGTCTATGGTCTCAACCAATCTTTGTAGACAGAGAGCAGAGATGAATGAGCAGTAAGAGTGTTACAGAAAACCTTGAGGAAAGGATCATTCATTTTGCAGTTCGGTTTGCTACATAGTTCCAATTTAAACCATTTTAGACAAAAAACGAACAAATAGCCGAGACAGAAACAGATTTAACATTATGAGACTTTTTGTTTGCATGTGGCGTAAGGATGATTAGATCGCAATCATTTTTGAACATGAAACACCCAGCATCCACAGGGAAAAACTGAACGAAGGGACTCATTTAAATAATGTTACACATTCAGGGTTATTCTCGTTAACTAAAACTATTAAAACATTTTGTTTGTTGAAATGATGATGAAATATATTAAATAAAATGAAATAAAATGAAATAAAATAAATACTAGATGAAAAATAAACTAAACAAAAATGAGAAATTACACCTTGGCAAATAAGTAAATTAAGTTTAATTTGAAAATAATGTAATTACTGACTGGAAAACTGAAATGAAAAAAAAAACTAAATAGTAAAAATAAATGAAAATGGCAAAATTACAAAAAAAAAAAAGTTACTAAAATTAAAATAATAATTTAAATACATTTAAAATCTTATTAAAATACTAGTAATAAATAATACTAAAATAAAATAAAATAAATATTATAAAAACTTAAACTAAACAATAAAAATAGAACTAACTAAAATAAGTGAAAGGACTTAAATTAATAACTGGAAAACTAAAATGAAAATAAATGAAGCCTAAATAATAATATAAAACAAATAATGAAAATGACAAAATTACTACAAAATTTTATTAAATTAAAATAAAAGGAAAATATAAAAAATAAAATACATAACAATAAATATAGTAATAAATAATACTAAAACAAAACAATATAAATATTAGTTTATACAAAATTAGTTGAAGCACTAAAATTACTAACTGAAAAACTTATAAAAAAAAAAAAACCTAAATAGTAATATTAAAAATTACTAGGATGGTTGACTAATTAACTGGTTGTCAAAAAACAACTAGTCAGTTATGGAGTTTAACTAGTGCCAACTTCTCATAGTGTTTTAGCAATTTTTTACAATAATTGTTAATTTTTTCGATTCATGAGTGCCAATTTTGATCCGTAACCAATGATGTACTGACTTATAAACAAATTTTCACTTAGTCAAACATTTCTTTTAGATATTTCAGGGATTAAAAGCAGATTGCTGTTGTTCATATTGGAAACATAATTCTATAAAAGACAGACTGATAAACATAAATATACTAAAGCTTCAGCTGAATCTGCACAAGCACTCACGTTTGTAAGCTGGCGTTGGTGTTGGAGTCACAGCTGCGGTCTAATTCTCTCGTCTGGCATCATGAGAGCCCCGCAGTGAGGCAGGACCTGAGTGTGCGAGTCAGGCAGGCCGCTGTCCAGAAAAGGAGAATTTCTTGATATGATTTGCTCTTCTTCGGCCCATTTTAAGCCCAGCATTCGGCCACAGAGCGCCCCAGATCTCCTGCCTGCTGTCGGTCCACTGCTCGTCCTCGAGCCAAGAGCGACGCGGGCCGCAAGCCAATCATCCAGTCATCCGTGATCTCCTGCTTAAAGGCCAGAAAGAGAAGCTAATGGATCCACTCGCATCCGCTTTCTTCCCTCATCTTCATTTTCTTCGTCTCCTCCCTCGCTTAATAAGTGCTGATGTTTGAATTTGACTGCTAGTCTCTTGAGCCGCTTCATCCGAGCTGGCATTGAGTCCAAGGTCAACGCAGCGTGTTTTTCCCATCAATTTAGCCTTTGTCCTTCTGTTTTGAAATAAGCTGAAGCACTTAAATTACTAACTGGAAAATGGAAATAAAAATAAATGAAACCTAATAGTATTGTAAAAAATAAATATGAAAATGACAAAATTACTAAAAAATGTAACTAAAATTAAAAGAAAAACTGTAAATATAAAAATAAAACACTACTAATACTACTATAATGGTAATAAATAATATTTAAAATAAAGATTAGATTAAAAAAAACAATAAAAATGACAAAATGATAAAAAATGTAAAATTATATATATATATATAATTGAATATAAATATTAAATATAATAAAATACATTCAATATATAAATAAAAGTAATATTAATAATAATGCTTAAAATATATATTTTAGATTTTAAAAATTAAACTGGACAAAACTTAGAAATGTTTAGGTTAAGTTTAAGTTGAAGCACTAAAATTATTAACTGGAAAACTGAAATAGAAATATATTTTTTAAAAATGACAAAATTATTAAAAAGTCAGATTAAAATTAGAAACATGAAAAAATTATATAAAGTTTTATATAAACAAAACATACGTCGAAATATTAATAAAAACTGTAATAGTATATGAATAATACTAAAATAACACTACACATTACAGTACAAACTAAGGATGGACCAGGATGGTTAATTAATCAACTAGCTGTCCAAAAACAACTAGTCAGTTAGGGAGGTTAGCTAGTGCCAGCTTCTCAGAAAGTGTTTTAGCAATTATTTACGCTAATTAATTTTGCGAATCGTAAGCGCTATTCTGATCTTGAGCCGCTTCATCTGGAGTTGGCATCGATTCCAAGTACGATGCAGCATGTTTTTCCTGACGGTTTTGCCTTTGTCCTCCTGTTTTTGTTGATTCCCTGAGCGCTGAGGAGGTTTATCAGACTCACAGACACTCGGCTTGACCTCACACCTCCGTCAGCAGATCTGCATTGCGGATCTGTCTGCTAAAACGTCTCCGATCGCTCGAAATGGCTGATCGCAGGGGAACGTCCGGCTTGTCTGGAGGTGTTAGCATCACTGCCAGCAGATATGGAAAAAAGATATCTATTCACAGATGAACACTAAACCCATACTGCAGATTAGTTTAGCAAGAATAAAAAAAAATAAAAACAATAAGACACTTTACTGACACGTAAAACAACCAATCACAGTTTGTCTTGTAGCTTGACTGACAATGAAAAGCTTGTTAAAAATACACTTTGTACATTTCCACAGAAAACAGAGAAGAAATAAACAGAAATGTGTGTAGATCTTAAGGGTGTGTGAAACTGATAAAAAATATCTCAAAATGTTCTGGTATTTTGCAGTTACAGAAATTCATGTTTTCATTAAGGGCCACGTTTGCCACCTTAAACTGATTTCCAGAGGCATTTTACCTTTTTAATATCATTTTTTCTATCTTTATTCAATGTACGTGTCATATTTTATGTCAAATTCTTATATTTAATCAATAAATTATGATATTAAAACACCATATTCTGTTACTAAATAAAAAAATCTATCAGTATCAGCAAAATCCATTTTTGCATTGCAAAACTTGCACAGAAGCAGCATTTACACTGCAATTACAGCTGCATAAACAATGCTATGAGATTGTATTAAAATGAATATTTTACTTATTGAAATTTTACTTTAAATAATTGAAGTCATTTATTCAGCCAATTCGTTCTAACTGCTGATTCATTCAGATAAATATTTAAAAAATAAATATGAACAAATTTGAAATTATTATTATTTTATATGAAATTATACTTTAAATGAGTAAGTCATTCAACCTATTCAATATTTATTCAACTAATAATATTTTAATTATTTAAATATGAAATTACAATTTTTATATGAAATTATAGTCTTAATGAGTGAGTCACTGAGTCATTTATTCAACCGATTCATTTAAACAGCTGATTCTTTCAAGAACGAAGCAAGTAACTGTTGTCTTTATGAAAGGATCATTGAATAATTGATTAATTCAAACGGATGATTCGTTCAAGAATGAAGCAAGTGACTTTATGAATGGATGATTCAATTTAATTTATTCAAACGGATGATTCATTCAAGAAAGAAGCTGTAGTGACTGGCTGTGTCCGAAATCACCCCCTATACCCTCATTCACTATTCCGCACCAGTTGTACACTCGTTTTTGCAGTGCATTGTGGGATTGAATGAGTGCACTCGAGAACGTCCACTATGGTTTCGGACACCACTAAAAATGGCTGTTCCCTCAAATAGTGCCCTATTTAAGGGTATGGGGGCGATTTTGGACACAGCCACTGTCTTTATGAAAGGATATTTGAATCATTGATTCGTTCAAAAGCGATTCATTCAGAAATAAAACACAGCTATATTTCGCTCTGTATCCTCAAATGATTTAAAACCAAAAACTGATAAAAATTAGACAAGTCCAGTCATCAGTTTTTCATTACAAGTTCTCGTAATATCGACCAACTTGTTTAACTGCACTGAATTAGCAAATCAACCCTGATAGCACACGTACATCACGGAGACGTCTATTTGTCGTCTGTATTTACATCTGCAAGACCTATTTTTTAGAGCGTTTGCTCATCTGCAATACGTCTATGGGACGTTTCCTATCAGATGTCAAATAGACGTTTAGAA